CTAAGTTGGCCTGCCACCTCTCATCCCGTGATTCTGTACAACCTTCATCTCCAGTTGTATTATCTTGGAACATTCATCTTGAACTTTCATTGGTTAAGCTTCAGAGACATTTAGAAGTGGAAGATACTGACAGCTTCCTGAAATTTAGTTGGCTGGCATTTAACTGTAAAAGAGGAAGGGAAGTCGATGCCCCTACTTCAGTTTAAACACACAAAGCTTCAGTCAAAACAACAGCCATATCACAAAAGCACAAAATATATTACAATATAAAGATTTCAGCAAAATCAATGAATGCGAGGAACTCAAGGCCTGACCTGCAGATGAGCTCCATCCTCCCCTTCAGTCTTGCACATTAGTAAAGACTCCTCTCTTGTACTGAAATGGCTTACTTTTCCTGGCTGTAGGACATCCAGCATCATCTAGGTCACAGGTGTCAAACTGGCGGCCCTCCAGCTGTTGCCAAACTACAGGTCCCATGAGGCATTGCAAGACTGACAGTTACAAGCATGACTCTCAAAGGTAGAGGCATGATTGGGGCTTGGCTATATCTTACTCGCCCCCTTCCATTTATTGATTTTTAGTTCTTTTAATCATAGAGGCTCAAAATGCCAATGGGAGAGGGAAATTGGAAAACGAGGAAGAAAAAGTATAAGCAGAATAAACATCAGCTTTAAGGTGTGAAATTGTTTGGTAGGGTAGTGAGGTCACCAATTCCGTGAACAGAACTTATGCCATTCTCGTTCCATCAGACTTGCACAGATTTTCAAACTGTGCACTTGGATCATGGAGATGTGTTTCATCTGAGAACATGCCGTTCTTATATGAGTAGATGTTGACTGGGTATGATTCATGAATATGAAGATATTCTTCAACTGAGAGCTTCTCATTCTGAATGTGAGTAGATACAGTTCAGATATAATGTATAGTTGTGGACATGTCAGGATTGTGGAGAATTTATTACGTTTGGAGCATCTTGTTCTGAATGATGGAGACTGGGTATGATGTACGGATGTACAGATGTTCCTTAGATGAGAAAGGCTTGTTGTGACTTTGAGTAGATGGAGGATTGATATGGTGTACGGATGCGGAGATGTTCTGCAGCTGAAAGAGGCTTGTTCTGAATATACATAGATGAAGCATGGGTATGACGTATGGATTTGGAGATGTTCCTCAAATGAAAGAAGCTTGTTCTGAATATCAGTAGATGAAGGATAGGTATGATGTAGAGATGTGGAGATATTACTCAAATGAGAAAAGCTTGTTCTGAATAAGAGCAGATGGAGGATGGTTATAGTGTATGGATGTGGAGATGTTTTTCAGCTGAGAGGCTTGTTCTGAATAGAAGTAGATGGAGGCTGGGTATGATGTATGGATGTAGAGATGTTCCTCAAATGAAAGAGTCTTTTTGTGCATATGAGTAAATGAAGGATGGGTATGATTTATGGATGTAGAGATGTCTTTCAAATGAGAGAGGCTTGTTCTGAATATGAGTAGATGGAAGATGGTTATGGTGTAGAGATGTGGAGATGTTCTTCAGCTGAGATACAGTAGGTTTACTTTGAATATAAGTAGATAGAGAATGAGTATGATGTATGGATGTAGACATGTTCCTCAAATGAGAGAGGCTTGTTGTGAATATGAGTAGATGGAGGATGGGTATGGTGCACGGATGGATATGATCTTCAGCCAACAGAGGCTTGTTCTAAATATGAATAGATGGAGGATGGTTATGGTGTACAGATGTGGAGAGATGTTCTTCAGCTGAGATAGGTTTGCTTTGAATATAAGTAGATAGAGAATGAGTATGATGTATGGATGTAGAGATGTAGAGATGTTCCTCAAATGAGAGAAGTTTGTTGTGAATATGAGTAGATGGAGAATGGGTATGGTATATTGATGTGGATATGTTCTTCAGCTAAGAGAGGCTTGTTCTGAATATACATAGATGGAGGCTGGGTGCGATGAGGTATCGATGAGGAGATGTTCTTCAGCTGAGAGGAGCGCACGCGCTCAAATGGAATTGAATAGAATCCAAAATTACAGTGCAGGAATCACAGGAGCTTGCGCACTTCTTATTTTGTAATTACCTCCAGGGACCTCGGATATTTCATAAATCTTTTATGAGCAGGTTTCAACACTTCTTGGTAGTGTTAAGCACCAGCTCAATGTCCCCACTATATTACTATCCTAATGGCCTTTAGTTTCAAAAGGAACATGCCAGAGGTAGGAAGAGGGTAGGCTACTAATACCAAAAAGTTCTTAAACTTGTTCATTATAACACCCTAGGATTTGAGACACTTGGGGAGCTGAAGAAGGCATGTAAAGTATGTGCAAGCTCCTGCAGTGCTTCCACTGAAGTTCTGGACCCTGTTCAGTACAGTTTGGGCCATGAAAGGTTTATTTTAAGGAAATCCCCTGCCAGTTACAGACTATTTCACGAAGCCTAGATCTTCACAACTGTGCATTATATACTCCTTATACTTATATTAATGAGCAACCTGTCCTAGCTGGAGACCACTCCATGCAATGTGGTTCTAAAAAAAAGCCAACTAATCAACTTGTATGGGTTACTGATGTGCCACAGGAAAAGTTTAAATTTAATTTACAGCTGTGAAGAGTACTGTAGCCCTGTAAACTACTGTGACTGTGTGAACAACTGAAAGAAAACTGTGGACAGCCATGTCTATCGAATTTTTTGTTTTGGCAAGCCATGTGGGTGCATTCTCCATGTCTAAGGTTTCCATAGGTCGAAAAAGCAATCATTTGAAGTTGAGCATAGTGGTTAATACTACAAGGGTCTGTACAACCTCTAGACAACTAATACACGTTAAAATATAAGATACGTTTTTATTTTTCCTCATGGTGCACTGGGAGAACAAATAGGATAACCTGAGGGGTTGCTGCATGCAATGAGACCTGCTTTTCTGTTCTAGACTTTAATAAATTGTGGATTAAAGTATATTTAATAATTTTTTTAAGTTTTGGATAGAGTAGGAAAGGGAAGTGTTTATACACCCAGGGGTGGACTGACCATTTGGAAACTCGGGCACTGCCCGAGGGCCCAGGGTCAGTAGGGGGCCCCATGAGATGCCCCTGGTACCTTTTTCATAGGCTTTTTTGAGTTTGGGCAAGGACACAGGGGCCCCATGGTCCCCTATTGCCCGGGGCCCCCAAGAGTTGTCAGTCCGCCCCTGTATACACCTGTCTATTATTTTAGTTTATGGGAAGAATTCACTTTACCTCCTGTCCTAAAACGATATCTCTCCAAAGTAACGGGAAGTCCCCTCTTAGACAATGAAGCACCTCCTTCTTCAGGGTTTTGGTTATCCAGGCTAATGGAAATGGCCTAGAAGAACAGACCATGAAATCTTTGGGTTTAGTAGACAAAGTCTTCAGTATTCTGGTCACTAAATGAGTGTCAAAGAAAATGGTTGAAAGAAAAGCAGTTGAAGCACAATGTGCATGAACCCAAAGAATCCAGGGCTTCAGAACTCTGGAATGTTTTGGCCTTCTTGCTTGCTGCTAATAAAGAATCACATCCTTCAAGTGTTAATGCTTCATGGTGCTGTTTCTGGCACTCCTCACCTACAGACACTGATGACACACTGTTGAAGGATCCCTACCTATACTTGTCCTTCCATAAGCCCAACAGCCAATGGAAAACATCTCAATCTATTTACGACACTTTAAAATGACAACAGTGAGTCATTGTTCACATATATGCCACACTTTTGAGGCTCTTAGGTGGTTGCCACATAAGCAGATGTCCCTTCAGAATTCATCTGCTCACCTTCTATATTGGTGACCGTCAAAAAAATGTTGGATTTCCTATCACTCTCTGTCTTGGTGACAATGCTCATTGGGATAAATGGAAGGGTGACTTTCCCAACAGGAACACAGACAGCAATAAAAACCTGATGTTTCCAATAATTCCCGACTCTATCTAAAACTAAAAAAATTTCAGCAATAGATACACTTTAATGATTTGCAGCTTACTGACTTGTGAAATGAGCTTTCTACTCCCAACAGCCCATCCAAGTTTTTTCCAGCTTTCTCACTCCTTCCATAACCTGTTTGGCTCGCCAACAATTTTTTAAAGTAAAAATAGGACAGCTACTGGCTACTGACTCCCAGCACTTCCTAGTCGGCGTGTGTACACAGGGCAAATGGAGATGATGCCACTGCCCCAATTCTGTTGCGGTAGGCGTGGCAAGCACGTTCTGAGCATGCGTGCGCTCTCATCAGCCCATGACCTGATCCAGGAAGAGACGCCATCTCTGCCCACCCTATGGATCCACGCCGACTAGGAAGTGCTGGGAGCCACCAGCACAGCCAGGGACAGCATACTGGAGACAACGTATCAGGGACTTGCAGGACCAGACTAGAACTTTACAGTGGTGTTATCTGTTTGACAAGCGCTCATTTTACCACTTTTGTCAGTTGCCAGTCTTGTGATAATGAATCATTTGGTTTTATTTCTACACTTAGATGGTGCTGCTTCCCTCTTCTTTGTGTTTCATACAGAGTCCCTTCTAGCTCTTTAGAATTGGCTGCCACTGGGTCAAGCACCTTTAAATTATATTTTGGACTATTGAAGGACTTTTAGTGTGTTTTTTTTATCATACACATTGACTCTTGTTACTGTGTCATTGAGTTTCCCCTCCAGGAGTGCCAATATATTGTTTTATCTCTACATTATACACTTGGACCTGTCTTTCTTAATACGCCAAATGTTCTTTTTCTGTTTTTTTTGGCTACTTTGTGGTGCTTACAGGACTAGGAGTGATAAGGAACCAATGGGAATATTCCATTCTTTCTGCCCAGGAAGAATTAAATGGAGAAGCTATTTGGCTTTGAGGGTCAACAAGACTAGTTCTTTCTGTATGCACTTTGGCAAATATGACTTGACTTCTTCTAGTCTGAGAAGATCAAACAGTCAGCCTGCCATGTTCTTCCCCAGAAATGTTCCCCGCCTCTGGTTCACCAACAGCATTTCCTCCCCCAGCATGAATTCTCTGATGTCGAACGAGTTTGGCTCGCCAAGTAAAACCTTTGCCACACTCGAAGCAAAAGTAAGGCCGTTCCCCAGAGTGGCTCTTTCGGTGGTTGCACAACTGAGAGTTGCTAGCAAAGCGCTTTCCACACTGGGCACAAGAAAATGGTTTCTCTCCCGTATGGACTCTCATGTGTCGGCTGAGGTAGGAATCGCTGATGAAACATTTTCCACACTCGGGGCAAGAAAATGGCTTCTCCCCTGTGTGAATTCGTTGGTGGATAACGAGGTAGGTGTTGGTGCCAAAGGACTTTCCACACTCGGAACAAGTGTACTGCTTATCTCCTGTGTGGCTCCTCTGGTGCTTTATCAGATATGACTGGCTGATAAAACTTTTCTTGCACTCTGAACATGAATAAGGCTTTTCTCCAGTGTGGGTGCGTCCATGGATCACCAGATCAGCTTTATGGGTAAAAGATTTCCCACACTCGGAGCAAATGAATGGCTTGTCCCCGGAGTGGATCCTACGATGTTTCATGAGGTAGGAGCTTGTTGTAAAACCTTTCCCGCATTCTGGACAGGGATAAGGCTTCTGGCCAGTGTGACAACGTTGGTGTCTAACCAGTTCAGACTTGGAGTTGAAGCAACTGTCACACTCATAACAGAAGAAGACCTTTTCTCTTGATGGTTGGGCATCATAATCTCCATTCCTGTTTATATACGAGGTAACACCTTCAGGTTGAGAAGCATCTTGCTCATCTACTCCTCCAGAGAGTGGTTCTTCCAAAGAAAGACTAGAATGTGAAGAGTGCAGGACATGAGAGGTGCCAACACAAATTAAATGTTCTTCTTCTGAAGAACAGGTTTCCTCCTTGATACACACAGTTGTAAATTGTATTGGACCTGATGGGGTGGAGAGGTTAGAGTATGTGATGTCTCCTTTACAATTGAAAGAGGCAGGTTGGACTTCATCTGAGGTTGTGGATTTGTTAGTGTGTGAGGGTTCAGCTGAGAGAGGTTGTTCCTTAATATAGGTAGCTGGAGATTGTGTATGATGAGCCATTTTGTAGATATCAGCTTTGGGGAGATGTTCTTCAGGTGGGAGGGGTTTGTCTTTGACATCAGTAGATGTTGACTGTGTGTGATAAGTGGGTGTGGAGGTGCAGGATGGATGCTGTTCAGCAGACAGAGGTTCCTCTTTAATATGTACAGAAAAACAGAGTGCACGAGGTGTGGAGGTGTCAAAGTCTAGAAGATGTTCTGTTGCTGAGATGGGCTCTTCCTTCATATGGATAGATATAGACTGCATATCATATGGGGTTATGAGGACATTAGAGCGTAGGAGCGGTTCTTCCTCCTCTTTTGCTAAGATGTCACATTGTGGGAGCCATTCTTCTTCCTCTTTACACGTAGCTGCAGTCTTGTCAAAAATCTCTGGAGTATGGGTCATATTTGGATCTTTTGGTGAGGAATATTTGCCAATCTGGAGATAGCAATTCTCAAATCTTTATTCCCACAATCCGGCAACGGAGTACTACATGGCGAGGCATTCTCCGGATATTACATCTGGAAACACAGACACGGCAGTAACAAGGCAGAAATATGAGGGTGAACCTACACAGTTAAAAATAAACTCAAATCTGCACACATTACAGTTTTCTTTGGCAACAGTAATGGCTACTGCTTTTTCTCTGAAGCACCTACGTCCCTCAACATTTTCAGAAGAAAAGTGAGCATTCATCCATATGAGGAGATCCATATATCCTAGCTGCACTACAGAAGTTGTCTGCCATATCATTAGAGAAGCTGTCTGGAGTTATACCCCCTGACACTCTCCTTTATTTCTTGAGGACTCTGTTGGGGAGATTTCTGCTCCGAGCTCCAAGAAGGATGAATGAGAAGAGAGCAGGATCTTTAGCAAAGAAAATCTCATCATGGGATGCCACCAGAATTACTTTTAGGTGGCATACCCCTTTAAAAAGGAAAGCTCATTTCTACGAGATTGACCAACCCCCAAATTATTTTTTAATTATAACTTCACTGAGCAATTTTTTAAATTATTTGTAGACAGTACCAGGTGTCATTTAGCCCATCTAATAATTTCCAGCTGCACAAAATAGAGTGAAAGTAGCAATTACCTGATGGTAATTGTGCTGCAGATTCATGCCACAGCAGCTGGATCTAGAAGAGGACGAAAGAATGCAAATCTGCCAATGGCTCCTTACAAAGCCTTATAATACAAGTATTCACCGGCCACATTATTAGGTCCACCTTGCTAGTCCCGGGTTGGACCCCCTTTTGCCTTCATTCTTCGTAGCATAGATTCAACAAGGTGTTGGAAACATTCCTCAGAGATGTTGGACCATATTGATATGACAGCTTCACGCAGTTGCTGCAGATTTGTCGGCTGCACATCCATGATGCGAATCTCCAGTTTCACCACATCCTAAAGGTGCTCTATAGGATTGATATCTGGAGACTCTGGAGGCCATTGGAGTACAGTAAACTCATTGTCATGATCAAGAAACCACCTTGAGATGATTTTAGCTTTGTGAAATGGTGCATTATCCTACTGGAAGGAGCCATCAGAAGATAGGGACACTGGATTCATAAAGGGATGGACAAAATCAGCAACAATGCTCAGGTAGGCCGTGGTGTTTAAACAATGCTCAATTGGTAATAAGGGGCCCAAAGAGTGCCAAGAAAATATCCCCCACACCATGACACCACCACCACCAGCCTAAACCATTGATACAAGGCAGGATGGATCCACCACACCATGACACCACCACCACCAGCCAGAACTGTTGATACAAGGCAGGATGGATCCATGCTTTCATGTTGTTTAAGCCAAATTCTGACCCGATCATCTGAATGTCGCAGCTGAAATTGAGACTCATCAGACCAGGCAACGTTTTCTCAATCTTCTATTGTCCAAGTTTGGTGGGCCTGTGTGAATTTAAACCCTCTGTTTCCTGTTCTTGACTGACAGGGATGGCACCCAGTGGGGTACTCTGCTGCTGTGGCCCATCTGCTTCAAGGTTTGATGTGTTGTGCATTCAGAGATGGTATTCTGCATTGGTTGTAACAAATAGTTATTTTTGAGTTACTGTTGCCTATCAACCAGTCTGCCCATTCTCCTCTGACATCAACAAGACATTTTCCTCCACCCAACTGCCACTCACTGGATATTTTCTTTTTTGGACCATTCTCGGTACACCCTAGAGGTGATTGTGCATGAAAATCCCAGTAAATCAGCAGTTTTTGAAATACTCAGATCAGCCCGTCTGGCACCAACAACCATGCCACGTTCAAACTCATTTAAATCTCCTTTCTTCTCCATTCTGATGCTCGGTTTGAACTTCAGCAAGTCGTCTTCACCATACTGTATCTAGATGCCTAACTGCATTGAGTTTCTACCATGTGATTGGCTGATTAGCAATTTGTGTTACCGAACAATTGAACAGGTGGATCTAATAAAGTGGCCGGTGTTGTGTAAACTTGTATAAACATTGTGATATTTATGTCAACCCCCAACTCATTTCCCTCTGAGCATACCAGGCTGATGGTGGATCAACTGCTTACCCTAGTTTTGCCCCTTTAAAAGGCAAAGGATGTATGCATTGTGGGAAAGGTAGTCTTTGGCCTTTCTGATAGGCCGAGACTAAAACTCCTACAGTGCATGGCAGTTCCCTGTCAATCCATGCGGCTGGGATGTCAACAGGCAGAGCAGCGACACCTCCAGGTGAAAAAAGTAGTGCTCACACACGGATATAATCAGGATTCATCTTGTAGTACAGCCTAATGATTTATTTCTGCGGCATCCTGATACCCGGCCACTGACGGCCCTCCTTGGGAGCTGTAGGTGGCTCAATCACTGAAATTGGCTTAAAGAAAAGTCAATTCCCCTGCGTAGTCCCCTTCCACCCTCCATGTCATAGTCTTCTCCACTGATGGCAGTTTATAATAACTGCCTTCGCTGGCCCAGCTCCTCTGGCCTGCCCCTAATCAATCTGCATAACCTTTTGTGCAGATGCTGGGGGAGGAGCAAAGGGAAATACTTGAGTCTGCCAGGGCTGCTGACATTACATCCAAGACGGTGGCATCAATCTCAGAGCTTTTGGATGTCTACACTGAAATTCATTTGCCGCAGTTCATTGGGCTGGCATCCTGCTATCATGTCACAGGCTTGGGCTGAACTTTAGCTCATCTAGATTAGAGACCATGGTCACTGAAACCGAAAGTGATGGAAAATCCAAAATGTTAATTTATCACAGAAAAGAAAGAAGAAAATCTTTTAATGGGGACACCCATTCGGGATAAGACTTCTAAACAGGAACTTCCCTTTCTGTAGAGAGATTTCTTCTCACTTCCTGTTGTGTCCACAGGACAGGAAGTGAAGGGAAATTTATCCAATGGGACACAAATGGCGAGAATAAAACTTGGTAGGAGTTTTAATCCTTCTGTACTCTGTATGATGAAAAAACTCCTGGCTTTACATACACTATATTGCCAAAGAAGCGTGATTGGTCACTCCAGAGAACATGTCTCTCCTACTCTACAGTCCAGTGGTGGCATACTTTATACCACGGCATCCGATGCTTTGCATTGCACTTGGTGATGGAAGGCTTGGATGCAGCTGCTCGGCCATGGAAACCCATTCCATGAAGCTCTCTACGCACTGTTGTTGGGCTCATCTGAAGGCCACACCAAGTTTGGAGCTCTTTAGCTATTGACTCTGCAGACAGTTGGCGACTTCTGCACACTGTGCGCTTCAGCATGCGCTGACCCCGCTCTGTCCTGTTACGTGGCCTACCACTTGGTGGTGCTGCTGTTGTTCCCAGTTGCTTCCACTTTGTTATAATCCCACTAACAGTTGAGTGTGGAATATTTAGTAGCCAGGAAATGTCACGGATGGACTTATCGCACAGGTGGCCCCCTATCACGGGACCACGCTTGGGTCACTGAGCTCCTGAGAGCAACCCATTCTTTCACCAATGTTTGTAAAAGCAGTCTGCATGCCTAGGGGCTTGATTTCATACACCTGTGACCATGGAGGGGATTGGAAAACCTGAATCACATGATTTAGAGGGTGGGGCCAATACTTTTGACAATATAGTGTATATTTAAAGTCATAATTTGCCTTTACCTGCCTATGCAGATAAAGGACGTCTGTAGATAAAAACAAACTGTGCAGCTTTGCTTAAAATTGAAAAATGCCCTTGCTATAGGTGTAAGCCATTTACATACCTCATGAAGCCTTACTAGAAAACTTCTGGAGAGTTGCTAAGGTCATTGCTAAGACATTCCCAGCTGTTACTGCTAACCTCCAGCATCACAGGAGAGAGCTCTTTCTCTGATTCAACCCCCTTACATGCTCTTTCACTCCCCTGGCGCAGTAGCTCTGAGCTCAGCATTTGAGAGCTCACTCATGTGATACTGAAGGTGAGCAGTAACAGCAAGGAGTGTCTTAGCAACGTCCTTAGCAATGTCCTGGGAGTTTTCCATTTAGGCTTTATGAGGTATGTAGATGGCAGGGGCGGACTGAACATTTGGGCACTGCCCGAGGGCCAGGGGTCAGTAGGGGGCCCCATGAGATGCCCGTTACCTTTCATAGGCTTTTTTGGGTGTGGTTTGAGTGTGGGCGAGGACACAGGGGACCCATGATCCCCTATTGCCCAGGGGCCCCATGAGTTGTCAGGTCACCTCTGGTAGATGGCCTACACCTAAACCGAAGGCATTATTCAATTTTGGTCGGAGCTGTACAGTTTGTTTTTATCTACAGAAGCCCCTGACCTGCACAGGCAGGGTTTTGGTAAAGATGAACTAACCATTTAATTTGCGTACATCTGATTGCGCCAGATTTAATTTAGGGGTACCCAAGGAGTATGGAGAGCTCGCCATAATTCTTCCCAATGGTGAAAGGTGGAGCCAACGAGGTGTGGCGATCTTTCCTATGGGTGGGTGGGCACGCGCGCGCGCACGCACGCACTTAATATTTGCCTTAAGTGATAATAACAGTCACCTCCATTCATGCTAATAATAATAAAGGATGATAATTAT